CCTCGTTTCTCCACAAGGGATACCGATACCAACCAATGTGCCACATCAACGTAGCTACTGCTTCAACCGTATTGGTCTACGCCGTACAGTTCCCTCACAGTTTATTGCTACTTACCTAAAAGGTGTCCCCCAGATCCGGGTTAGGTTCTATAGTAACTCCCGATACAAAGCCCTCAAAGATAAAGCAATCAAATCAAACAATAGAAGCAAAATATGATGAACTAATCCTAAGGTATACCCCACTTATTATTTCCCCAACAGAGTCTCCAGTTCTGTGATACGGTGGCCAGAACCGGACTGTTTAAAATGCTGGTTTGCATTTTGTATTTTGTATTCGCAAAAATGTCGCGGTAAGCAAGAGTCGCCACCGACTTTTATTTTATCCAACTGGAAAGGAAAAAAGCACAAAAAAATTCCTTTTTTCGAGATTTTGAGTACGAGGGGTAGATTATAGAAAGAGAAGGTATTAGCACCCTTTCTATCTGTAGTTTTCTACGGGCTCTTAGGTACTTGCTCATCATTTTCAAAATTGCTTGAGTGTTTGATTTGAAAAAGTTTTTATTTTTACTTCGATTTAACCCTTGCTTCTGTCTTCAAGAGTGTTACGAAGTCATTTTGAAAACTTTGTTTGAAAGGAGTGTAAGTGTGGAAAAGTATGTTTTGAGCAAGTACCTACTAGCATCTACCTACTCGAAAAAGAGAATGTTTTTGTTCTTATTTCCTTTAGACAGCGCTATCCCACTATTAATGAGTAGGTAGCATCGTCGTTTGAGTTTTTAAGGGTCAATTCGAAAGGGACATACAGTCACTAAAGCAATGTTAGGACGTCTTAGTAATAACCCTAATGTCTTAAGATCAATATTCGAGGCAACATTTCCGAGGCAACACTTCTGAACGGGACATTTGATCTTTGTTTAGACAAGAAAGTGACCACTAAAATACCCTATACTTAATGATCGTTTACCGAAGGCAACCGAAGTGAGAGTATACCCTAGGAGTGCGCATGTGCGAGTGATTCAATTTCAAGTTATTATCTTTGCGCATTTAGGGTTTGCTAACCATTTTAAATTTAACATACATTCTTGTCATGCAACCCTAATATCATACATCTAATAGTTAATGTTTGCGAGAATTAAAGTGCGAGAAAATAAAGCTACGCTATTACAAGGCTTCGGGTATTAATTGCATAGCCAAAAAACCCGCTAAAACGATAAATAAACAAAAAAAAGGTCCTAATTAATCTATTACATCCCATGAGCAATTACATCAATATTGTGAAAAATAAATAAACGCGCGAGGAATCGAGAATGAGAGAACAATAGGGTTTTGACACCGTCTAACCCTAAATAAAAAGAATAGATTATTTTTGGTTGTTTTTGATTATTTTAAGAAAATAAAGTTTTAGATTAAATATGTACAAGCCTAATTACTAATTAATTTAAATTAAAGAAAATTATTAAATTTGACCTATTTTTGTATTTTGTGATTTTTTAAGAAAAGAGAAATAAAAATTAAATTAAACAAAAAAAAACCCTAATTCTTCTAATTGATTTTAATTTATTTATAAAGAAAATTAAAGTTACCTAAAGAAATTAAATTAACTAATTAAATTAATTTTTGATAAAAAATAAACCTAAATCTAATTTGATGAAAAATTGATTTTATGATTTTCTTGATAAAAAGAATTAATTTTTGTGTTAATAAAATAATTAAATGAATCAAATAAAAGAAATTATAAAAGAATAGAGAAAAAGAGTAATGGGCCTGTTTGCAAGTAATTTGGAGGGGTGTGAATAGTAGCTTATGGGCCCAAGAACAATCTGACCCACGTTTGACCTCCAAGATTCTATGATGTGCATTGACCCTCATGTAATGGCCTTCAGATTTGGCCTCTTGGAGATCTTAGTGGATGGGGGGACCTGGGATTCGAACCCAGGTCCTATGGCCTTTTCCACTGTCTCAATACCAACTGAGCCACGCGCTTTTGTTGTATATGAGATAACAATTAAATAATATATTAAAAATAAACAAAACAAAAATTATTCGTGCGAAATTTCAAATGGAGCAATCAAAGCTTACCACGTTATTGTCCCCAACCTCTCTCTGTTGTTAAAAGTCTTGAGACTTTTACCTACGGACAAAAGTCCGTAGCTATAACCCCTGCACGTTTCAAAATTTCATACAAGCTCAATAAATGAAAACTAATGGTGTGGATCAAATCGCCTTGGCCTGGTGAGCATCATGGTGCCCTTCTTGTGGACCAATTTTGCCTGTACAGGAAAAACCCAAAACACAACAACAAAACCTATCAATGGTGGATTCCAATATAGGCAACAAAAATGCAATTAATTGTCACCATGAGCTTGAAAACACGTTAGAGATTAGAAATATGCTATTGAAACATGATAAAGATGCAAGAATAAAGAGATTCAATTTTGGAAATAAGGGCAAACCGTGGGGGTCGTGGAATCGGATTTTGGGCACGAGAACGCTTGCTCTTGATTGCTATGGCTTCCTTGAGTGTCCAGGAAGCGAATGAGATGGCTTAGGAGTCTTGAAAACGCTTGGAAGTACAAAATCAGATCAGCACTTTTCTTGAGTTTTTTCAAGTTTTGTTCTTCCTCTCCACGCCTCCAAAACCTTCTTCTTTTTATCTGTCTTTATCCACTATATACCAAGGAACGAATTAGGGTTGCAAATGTGTTCTTAATCTTTGGCAATTATGGTCTTTGATCATGATTTGATCTTCATGAAAATCTTTCCAAAAATAGGCCAAACCCAATCTTTTTATGCACAACCATGCCTTACACGATTTGATTCACTTGCTAGCTGTATAAGGGACCTGAAACATGCATCAAATCTTAAGGTTTGAATGATTTGGATATTTTCATGATTTATTTTGATTTAAATTGATTTTATTGAAATAAAAAATTAAAATAAATGGTAAAAATAAAATAAAGGCAAGTGGGAAGAGCTAGTCTATATCCACTTGCCTAGCTAGTCAATATGGGAGGGCGAATTTTGGGGTACAACATAGTCTATATCCATCATGTAGCATCATATACAAACATCAAAACATGATTTCCAACATCAATTTCATGATTTCACATTCAAACTCTAACATGTCAAAATCTAGAAATTGAAGAACAAATCCCTATTATAATGTTACTATCCATTACATACTCATATATAATTCCATAATAACAAGAAATCTCACCCTTAACTTAGATGTAGACTCTTTCTAAGCTCTTCTTCTTCTCTTCTCCTTTTCTCTCTTCTTCCATTCTTTTCTCCTTTTCTTCTCTTCTCTTGTTTTACAATTCTATCTCTTTTGCTTCAGAATACCTTACCAACCTTATTTCACTAATGGACTCATCTCACTCACCCATTCTAATGTGACACTTAAGGTCCAATACTAAATACTATTATTCTAACACTTACCAACCAAAAACACAATTAAATAATTAATCTAAATATTCACAAAATCACATAATTTTAATTAATTACTATATCAAATAATAATTAATAAAATAAATAACTATTAAAATAATTACTAAAGAAAAATGAGATGTTACACTTAGCACTCTTACGTGATACTTTTGTACAAGTTTATACCATTTATATTTTATTTAATATTGATTAGCCATTTTACAATTCAGATGTTTGAGAGGTAAATCTGTTAAAATTTATTCAATAATTAATTACATAAAGCATGCTCAATAAAACAATTAGATTAAATAATCATACTTAAGTATAGAAGTGAAACAAATATATAATCATGCATATAAGTTATTATCATATTCTAAAATTGTCCGCCCACTTCTAATATTTTTCAAATTGGACTTTATATCTACTTTACTACATTTTTATTCTTTGACAAATGTTAATTTAAATAAAAATAAAGTAAATGACAAAGTTTATTTTTATTTTAAAAAAATAGTTTATTTTTAATAAGGGTAGTATTTTTGTATATATGTTTAAATAGGTTATTATTCTTGAATAAAAATCTCTTTAAATGTATAAAAAAAATATATATACGACCTTCATATATTTTATTATGTCATTTTATTTTAAGAAAATGAATTAGTATAATTGGTATGGATTAAAGCTTCTAAATATAAAGTCGTGAGTTTGAATCTCATCTCTCTATTTTTTTTTTATATCTATTGTCTCATTTTATTTATTTATTATCTTGAATTTTTATATTATTATTAGTTCTAGACTAAAATCAGATTTTTTATATAGTCATTATATTTAGTTTTAAAATTTTCTATATCTTAATGTTAGTTTTAAAAAGCTTTTAGAATTTTTAGATTGTTGTACCATTTATAAAACGTTACTGTAATTTGAGGTTTTATTATTATATTTTAACATTAAGGTCATAACTAATTTTAATTTCTTGACTGTTACTCCTTTTAGTATTATTTGGTAGAACTCTATTTTTTTTTTTAAGAAAAAAGAGAAGAATCAAATCAGGAAGAAGTTTTACATAGAATTAATTTTCTTTTAGAATCACATTTCTTAAGCTTAAGCTAATGTTTGTTTTTTATTTAATAGTTTTCCATTTAATTAGTAAGGATATCGGTCGGTTTATTTTTTTAGCTTTTTAGTAACTTGTTTTGAATATTTCAAAAAATCAACAATTCAAGATTTCATCCAAAGTTACTAAATCATATCCTCACATTCATGAATGATTAGCAGTTACAGATTTAAGTTTAAAACAACAAATTCAAATCTCCTCTCAATCACCTCCCAATCATTTCAATCATTATAAATCCAATCATTATTCAATATTTTTTACGGTTACAATTGCACAACCCATGAATCATCCCAAAGAAATCCAATCTTCTTTCACTAATTTACAGTTACGAAACCCATTTCTCCCTCCGTGATTCAACCTCTCGCCGGCAACGCCACCTCAACAACCGCATCACCTTCAACCCGAGCGCAACACTCACCGCCGCCGTGAAAGAACCGCAGATCCGCAGCCTCCCTCGCGCATGAGCGTACCGACCAACTTCTATCCACCGACCGTGATTCAGTCGATCCCTCCATGCAACCGATTAAGCCGCAAAAACACACCCATCGCGACTCCCTCCGTCGATCACCCAGCATCATCGCAAAAACACCAGTTCGTCGAAGATCTCGCCGCTGATCTATACTTCGACCATCATCGTGCCAGGTTCAATCCCTTTTTCTTTGTGATTTTAGGAACTGGTAAATCTTTGTGTGTTGGTGCTTTCGATTTTGTGTACAGAGTTTTCGGGTTTCATCGTATCTGGATGGTGTGGTGATCTTGAAAGAAAGAGTAAAGAAGATAAAGGTATAGGGAAACAAGAAAGTGTTCGTGGAGAGAGAGAGAGAGAAAGAGACATGGGGTGTTTATTTGTTCTTGGCAATACTGATACATGTGTTATACTGTTATGGTTTTTTACCCTGCCACGTGTCGAAACCTAAGTGGATGGTTTTGTTTATTTAAAAACAAAGGATGAGAAGAATTCATAAGGGTCGCGGCGCCCTTTCTTTTACAGCATTGGGTTTTGTTTTTATTTTCTCTATTTATTTAATTCATCTAATTAGATTAGGGTTGGCTTATGATGGGCCTTGGGCTCTTAAATCTTTCTCTATTAACTAACTCTCACCCTTACTTTCTAGAACCCTCAGAATTACTCAATAGTATACACTTCTACTTTGATTATTTAATTAATTATTTTTTAATTAATCAATTAATTTATTGATTCGATTATTTATTTATTATCACTGATCTTACCGGATCAGACCTGAACCGTCACGACTGGCTCCGAGCTGAAGTTGAACAAGATGGGGGTACTTGCAAGGCACTCCGATGCTAAAGTAAGTGACAGTACGAGCAGGCAAGAAAGTGTGTATGGTAAAAGAATGAATACTTGACCCTCTGGGAACAGAGGGTATTTATAGCCCCGGCGCTGGGCCAAGGTCTCTTCATTGGGCCGGGCAGGTTTGGCCCAATGAAGGAACTGACAGGTTCTACGGTGTGTAGTGGGGACCCGCACGTGGTCTCCTTCCTGGGTGTTCTGCGAGAAGTACGGACGGACGAGGACGCGGTCTTTTCGGAATCCAGGTGATGGTGTGATGGTCATAGTCTGCCCTACGAGGGGTGCTCGAGCTGAAGTCGAGCTGGACTGCATGGAGTCGAGGATGTCGCGCTCGCGGACGGTGGCGTACACGACTGTAGCTTCTTGGTCGGCGCGACCCTCTGCAAAGCCGTTTGGATTGGGCCTTCATCCTTGCTCTTGGGTCAGCCCGGCCCAGTCCAGAACAGGAGCCCCCCAAGTCGTGGTTCCTGGAGTATGAGCCATGGCTTGATCTTAGTTCGCCTCCGTCACGAGGTCCCGTGCTCGGACAAGAGATTTAGTTCCCCGTGGTCACTCGAGGAGTTTCCCATGTGTCGCGCTCGTGAGATAATTCCTTTCGAGGAGTGCTCGGGGGACTCTCGACGGGCTGTGTTCGTTGAGCACACGAGGCATCTCTTGGGAACCGTGCCGCCACCCTATTGAAGATAGGGTCATCATTGCCTAGGGGAGCTATGCATCGAGGAGGGAAGTTCGTGGTTCCCCGGGGTGACGTTTTGTATTCCACGTCATCACTATAAATAGGATCCTTGGGCCCCATAACATGTTTTTCCTTTTCGCGCTTCTCCTCCTTCCTCTGCCTCTGTTGCTGCTGTTTTTTCCAGATTTTCATAGGACCGCCGTGCTCTCCGCCGCCGTACCTCTTTCCTGATTTCAAGTAAGTTTCTTGTCCCTTTTGCTTTTCCTCTGTGGTATATGATATTTTCCATTGTTTTATACGTTAGAGACTGTGCGTCTAGGATTAGCCCCGGTAGATTCGTATTTTCGCTCGGCAAATCCATGTTTATGCCCGGCAAACGCATGTTTGTGCTCGGTAAACGCATATTTTAGGTATTTTATTCGCAATGCTGCCCGGGATCTTTACGATTCAGGGCGCCTAATTCGTGATAGTGCCCGGTAAATTCATAGTTCTAGTTTTAGGATTTATGATATTGCTCGCCATGTCCATAGCCTAGGTCGACATATTCGTGACTGGCCGGGATGTTGGCCCATTTTAGGCAATCTGTAGGAAGACTTGTCGCGGTATCTTGGCGTCGAGGAGGTGGCTCCACTCTTTTGTTCGAAACTTCAACTTTTTAATTGTGTGTGGAGTGTGACTCGGTTTGTCGTGCCCTTCTTCCCGTCAGTTATGGCAAGCGTGTGGGTTTGCTCCCCAATTGACCGGTTTCCCGTGCTTTGTAGGTTATAATGGCGGATGAATCGTGTTCCTCGGGGCATAATGAGGTGGAAAATCAAAGCGCCGAGGAGAATGTGAATCTGGTCGATACCATCAACGATCCTCTGCTGGAGTGGGTGGGCGCCGAGCCTAGAGGGATTGCTTCTGCCTATAGTCGGCGCAGTCGGAGTGCGTATACTATCGTCGAGCAGGGCGGTAGTAAGCCCGACTTTCAGAAAAACTTCGTTGTCACCAGACCGACTCTTACCGCGCGGATCTGCTCGGAGTTCCCCGAGTACGGGTTTCCCATGTATGAGATCGCTTTCAAGGACCTTGGACTACAGCTCCCATTTAGTGATTTTCAGGTCGAGGTCTTTAGTCATCTGGAGCTGGCCCCGTCGCAGCTTCACCCCAACTCGATTGCTTTCCTCCGAGCGTTCGAACTGACGTGTCGCTTTTTAAGGATTGGGGCGACCATACCTCTCTTCTTTAGAGTCTTCCATTTACAGTTCCAGACTCGGGGAGGTAGGCACAGTTGGGTTTCCCTGAAACAGTCGAAGAGGCTGTTCAGGATGTATATGGATTCTGTCCGGGGGTTCAAGGACAAATGGTACATCGTGCGGCCAGTTACCAAAACTGGTCTGGAGTCTGTATACGAGGAAGAAACGGTGGTGACCGACGATCACGGGGAGGCTCTTCTAGATGATGAGGGATGTTCGGTGTTGGGGTGTGTGGCCAAGTTTCCTTTGCATTGGACCTCGCGTCACTACGAGCACGACACCGGGCACTACCATACGCCCGCGGGTGGGATGAGCACCGAAGATGAGGAGGCCTATGGTACCCTCTGTAGATATGTCGATAGTTTCTTCCCTGTCCGGTGGGCCACGAGGGAGGGAAAGGATATTCTCGACGAAGATGGTTATCTGACCTTTGAGGCCCGGCCTATCGATACGAAGGCACTCGTGGAGTGTCAGTCCTTCGGGCAGGCCGCGAACCTTCTAGGTCATTATTTTTTTGCCTTGTTTGAATTTCTTCGCTTGTTATTTGCTCGTCACTAACCCGGGATTCTTTTATGCAGGTCGCATGGCTGGACGAAAGGAGAGGCTCCTAAAGCTGACACAGGATAAGAAAGTCAACAAGAGAGTGGTGCGAGCTCCTTAGGCGACGAGGATGGGCCCGCCAACTAGCCCGGGTGATGCTTCTGGAGGGTCCCCGGACGCTCAGGATGTTGAGCCGCATACCGACCTGATACCGAGGAAGAGGAACCGGGTGGAGAGCCAACCGGAGGTCGGCGAGGAATCTGGTGCGGTGAGGTCCTTCGGGTTGCCCCCCTGTTTTAAAGAGGGGGGTTTCTTCGAGGGGTTTCCCTTGTCCGTAAGCGCTGACGAAGCTGATACCATTAGGCGGCTGAGCAAGGAAAATTGGAGAAAGCATTTGGCTGCCAACATGGTCGGGATGGTCAAAATGGCCGAGATGGCCGTTGTCCTGGCCGAGGAGGGGGCAGATTCTAATCGCATCAAGGAGCTGGAACAGGAGAAAGTTGCCCTTACTGCGAGCTCACGAAAGTTGAAGGTTGCCCTAGAGCGCTTCGAGGAGATGTTCCGCGAGCAAGCCGAGCTGCTGGCTGCGGAGAAAAGAGAACTCGAGGAAGATTGCCAAGGAGAGGGAGTACTTCCGTGAGGACCGGGAATGCTTGGAAGCTGACAACGGGCGCCTCGCCAAAGAGGTCGAGGAACTAAAGGCCGCCATGCTCTCTGCCGAGGATGAGTCGGAGGAGACAGCTCCTTTGCGGAGTCGGTCAGAACTGGTGGCTCGTATTCAACTCCTCGAGGCGGATTGCGTCGGTGCTTTGGCGGATGGCTTTGAAGCCGCGGTTAGCCAGCTCGCTCTGTTGAATCCCAATCTGAATACTGAAGGAGTGGGCTACATGTCTCAGATCATCGACGGCCAGGTCGTGCCCCCGCCCGAGTCTCCTGTTGTCGGCGGTGATAGCCCCGGGGAAGTCTAGTTACGAGATCTTAGTCGGGCCTGTGTGCCTTTTCTTTTGTTTGATGGTTGTTTTTGGGGCCTGCGTGCCCGTGCATGTTTTACTTTTTGGGCCTGCGTTCCCGCTCTTGTACTTTCTGAACATCGTCGGCCTTCTTGGTCGGTTTATTTCTATTTGTTTTGTTGCCCACGAGCTTTTTGAATGAATGTTTGTTTCGACTTTGATTGTTTGCCCGTGTTTATGTTTTGATATTTTGCGATAGAACTTGCCTAAGTTATGGCCTCGAGTCTTGCCCGTGTGTGGTTGTGACTTTGTTGGCAAATTTGCCTAAGTCTTTTGTTCGGGACATGCTTGTGCTCGGCTTTCTATTCGGGGGCGAAATTCGCCTAAGTAACGACCTCGAGGAGAGATTCTTTTTCGACCCTTTGGATGGTCCGACGTTCTTCGAGATTCGTCGGGCGTGCGGAGCGAAGCCGCTTGTTCAGGCGTATGGCCTGAATCGGGGTTGTTCACCCGTGGCGTGAAATGCCCATCGCGAGCTGGGTGTTCTGCCCTACAGGTACTTCGACGGTGGAGCTCGATTGAGGTGTCCACGTCGGGCACTATCGTTCATGCTCGTCTGTTGAACGATGCTATGCCGTTTGGGCGTAGGTTGGGCCTGTACCTTGGCCTTTCTACGGGGTCAGACGTTTTTCCTCGCTGGCCGGACGTGGGTGTCGACGGCGAGAGTCCTCGGTGTTAAGGGTTTTTAACTATAGTACTGCTTTAGTTTAGCAGCGTTCCAGGGTCGTGGTAGTGGTTCTCCGTCCAGTTGCTCGAGGTAATATGCCCCAGTACCAGTGGTGTCGTGGACGCGGTAAGGCCCTTCCTAGTTCGCGGCCAATTTCCCTTTGCGGGAGTCTTTTTGGTTCCTTCGTAACACCAGGCTGCCGATTTCGAACTCGCGTTTGATGGCCTTGTCATTGTGGCACAGAGCCACTCGTTGTTTTAAGGTGGCTTCGCGTAGGGCCGCCCCCGATCGGATTTCCTCGACTAAGTCGA